GCTGGCGCAGGGGCGGCACACGCGCTGCTGCAGGGGCGGCTGGCGCACTGCTGCAGGGGCGGCGACGCGGGCTGCTCCAGGGGCGGCTGCTGCAGGGGCGGGTCACTGGCGCAGGGGCGGTACACACGCCGCTGTAGGGGCGGCGACGCGAGCGCAGGGGCTGCTCGCGCGCTGGCACAGGGGCTGCTCGCGCGCTGCTGCAGGGGCGGCGTCGCGAGCTGCTGTGGGGGCGGCGTCGTGAGCTGCAGGAGGGGCGGCGGCGCGAGCGACGGGCGACTGTGGGAGCAGCGGGCGGGCCCCCTGAAGGCGCCGCGACGAGCGACGGGGGGGAGCAGCGGGCGGGCCCCCTGAAGGCGCCGCGACGAGCGACGGGGGGGAGCAGCGGGCGGGCCCCCTGAAGGCGCCGCGACGAGCGACGGGGGGGAGCAGCGGGCGGGCCCCCTGAAGGCGCCGCGACGAGCGACGGGGGGGGAGCAGCGGGCAGGCCCCCCCGGAGGGCGCCTCGACGGACGGTGAAGCCGCCGCGAGCCCCGAGCGCGGCGGGCAGAAAAAGCCGCCACGCGCTCGGAGCGCGCGGCGGGAAGAAAAATACAGCGCCGCGCACCACGGAGCGCGCGGCGGAAAGTACGGCAGCGGAAGCAGTTGGTGGGCCCGTTGAGCTAGGCGGCAGGATCATGCTCGCTCTAGATACCATGTCAGAATCCCAGCCACTAACCACTGGGATAAAAGGGCTTGTTTATGTAGCGGGTGAGTGCGCCCATAACCCCCCAGGCCAACGTGCCTGTAACCCTTCCCTAGGATCAATCGGGGATCACCAGTGGACCTCTGACATCTTCGTCTCCATGAGCTGTTGCAGGAGACGGCTCGCAGTGACGGAATCCTTCGGCTGATATACCTCCACGAGGTGCTTCCAAGCTTCAAGAGCCGGAGCGGCGCTCTCTTTGTAGGAGCGGATGCCGAGCTGTTCTGCCGGCGACATGTTGCGCAGCAGGACGCTATACGCCATAAGTGACTCACTGTAGTATTGAGCCCGGGCGTCTTCGGTGTCTTCCACCGGTTTAGGATAGGAGCCGTCGAAGTAGTGGTAGATCTGCGCTGTCTGTAGGAGGAGCTCAAGCTCAAAACTCCATGTATAAAAATCCTTGCCGTCAAACGCGGCAGTAGTCTTGATTTTTGACACACTGAGAAAGCGTGCTTGCGCAGAGTTGATGGCTTCGTCCCTTGGACGAGGGGCAGTAGTTGCAGATTTGTCTGAATCGAGGGAGAAGCCATGCGCGGCGGTATCGCGGCTTTTCGCAGCCGGTTGTCCAGGTTGAACTGGTTGGGAAGTGGTTCCCGCATCGCCTTTGCGCAGTTCTTGGAGTTCTTTCTCCATTGTTGATAGTTGAGCGAATAACTGCTCAAGTGTGGCCGTGCCGATTGTAGTTGTCGCCTCATTTTTCGCAGCCGGGTTGGTTTGTCCTTCGGCCGTTAGATTTGTTTGGCCTCCGGATCCTCCGGCCATCTTGGTCTTGGATCGTGTGCCGCTCGCCAGATCTTGGTTTGGCGAATTTTACGGAAGTGACGTTGCGAAGAATCCATGGGCAGCTCTCATACCATGTTACAATCTGAAGTGTGACTTAGCGAAAGGATCGTTCAGGGTTGATCGCAGGTAGTGTTTGCAGTGGAAGTAGTGAACTCAGGTCAGAGTGAATGTAAATGACTGAGTTTGATTATAGCATGCATACATAGGGTTTATATAGAAATACAAAGGAATGCGAAACGACCTAGACTAGCCATGTACTCTAAGGGGTACATTCCCTTATTGCAGCGAAATTCAAACCGTGCGGCGCGGGAATCAGTTTCAAACCTGTTCCCGCTCTTTTCACTTCAAATGTTTCTGCCTGCATCGGTCTTGATCAGACGGTTGCTGTGTCGCTTCGACTCTTCTGACTCCTCGACTTCGTACTCGGTAGAGTCGGCTCCTGCAGCATACAGGAATGCCTTCTCATAAAATCTTATTTCGTAACATGGAGCATCCCACACTACGTTGTTCTAGATATCGTCACGCTCCACCCATAATGTGAATAAACAGTCTGGCTGTTTCTATGTCAAAAGGAAGCAGCCTCAATGCACTCTAACCATCGAACTATCGAATAACCTTGTAGAGCGCTTCATGTTCAAGCATTTGAATTTCACGCCCTGAAATTGGACGCTTCTGGTTAGCTACCCTTATTCTTTTCTGGGTCCAAGAGTTGAACTGGGCGATTCATATTTATAAGTGGGTAATGTTTTAGACTCCCTTTGAGTACAAGGACGCAACGTAGATCGCTACTGGAAAATGGCCCGCGCGAGAAGGTGGTGAGCCTGATCCACTGAGGGATATTCTTTTTAGACTACCGATGAAGAGAGCATTGTTCAAATCCTTCTGATTCTGGGTGTCTGAAAGATACATCCAAATCGGGTTTAGGGTGGCCCGGGTTTCTATCTGCGGAAGGGTTGAACGCTGAAAGAAATGCATTGGGGCCTCCCCTCCATATCAGCAGGAATTTGTGGGGATTCACTGCCTCAAGGAATTTCTCCACAACTTCATGCCAAACCTGCTCCCGTCTCGTTTGCTTGTACTCGTGCTTCTCGTGTGACTCGCCGGCGTCTTGTAGTCAATACGCAGGCCTCTGACCTAACTTTCTACATTCTCGTGGTTTCTGGCTCGCACCTCGTCAACCGCCGTTCGCGGTCCTATAACATGAAAATAGTCTGAATTTTTTTCTATGTAATATGCCAACCTGAACCCTCAGATTTCCGCCACGTCACAGCGACAAAATCCAAGCTGCCGGGCTCGTCGTCATCATGAAGCGTGGTGACCGTTGTCGTCTGCTGTCTCTCCCTGACGAGCTTCTCGAGTGCATCCTCAGCACCGTCACCCACCCATCCGACCGTTGCAACGTCGCTCTCGTCTGCTCTCGCCTCCGCCGCATCTCGCGCCGCACGCCGCACACGCTCCTACTCAAGTTCATGACTTGTCAACGCTGGCGCTTCAAAGTCCGGGATTGGTTGGGCGAGTTCGACATTAAAACGAGGGCATTTCCCCGCATTACCAGCCTCACCGTCCACCTGTCGTCCTGCCTGCGAGACTACCTGCTGGCGGGTATTGGCGCCACGTGCGGGCAGCTGAAGGAGTTAAAGCTGTTCACTGTGGATTGGGCAAGTTTTGACGCCACTGCTAGTGGGTGGCGGTCGCTTGCTCGCCAATGCCCGTGAGTGGCCTGCGTTGGGGATCTGCTAACGTTCCATCTCTCTCTCTCTCTCTCTCTCTCTCTCTCTCTCTCTCTCTCTCTCTCTCTCTCTCTCTCTCTCTCTCTCTCTCTCTCTCTCTCTCTCTCTCTCTCTCTCTCTCTCTCTCTCTCTCTCTCTCTCGTCCCACTCCCCTTTCGGGTGAAATAAGACGAGTGTTGAGGTGCCTCAAAACTCGTCCCGCTCCCGTTGAGTCGTTTCCTCCGCCTCGTTACAGTCAGTTCAGCAAACCCTAAGACTACCAGCACTCTTTCATTGCACGTCTCATCTCATCAACTCAACGCCCCCCGCCCCGGTCCCTCCCTTGTCCCCGCCATCTTGACATGGACCCTCATAACAGCCATCTGACCCATCTCGAGCTCAACTCCCGGTTCGCCCGCGACTCATCTTATCAGCGCTACGACGACAGGCCCGCGCTGCCGCCTCTCCACGCCTTCCCCGCGCTCCGCGCCGTCACCCTCGGCGTCCACCCCAAAGAAATCTCCCCCCTCCTCCGCTGCTCCGCGCTCACCTCCCTCTCCCTCTGGCAGCCCACAGGCGGCAACCTTGCTTGCCTCGCATCCCCCGCCTCCTCGTTCCGCTCGTCTCTCCAGTCTCTCACCCTCCAATCCGCCAGCCTAACCCACTACCTCCCCCGCATCTCCTCCTTCACCTCCCTCTCCTCTCTCTCCCTCCACTCCTGCATGTTCAACCCTGGCGAGCTACTCTCCCTCTCGCGCTCCCTCCACTCCCTCACTCACCTCACCGTGGACGATTGCCCTCTGGTCTGCTGCCACGCTGTAGAAGCATTGGTTCGAGCCAACCCCTCCCTCTCCACGCTCTCTCTCTCCGGCACCACCTACCGTCTCTTCAGTTCCAAGCCCCTCTCAGCCGTGCTTCGTCTGTCGTCGCGTAAGCTTCAGACGCTCACGCTTGCGGGTCTGCCGTCGTTCCGCCCAGGTATGCTTGCGGGGTGCAGCAGCCTTGAGTCGCTCACTCTCCAACGAGCCGAGGGGTCGTGGGAAGAGCTGCTGGGCTTGCTCGTGCGGGTAGTCGAGGCGGAAGGAGGTGCGGATAGGTCCGTGGGAGCAAGTGCGTGCGTGGGTGCGGGTGCGTGTGCGGGTGCAGGTGCGGGTGCGGGTGCGGGTGCGGGTGCGGGTGCGGGTGCGGGTGCGGGTGCGGGTGCGGGTGCGGGTGCTGGTGCAGGTGCAGAGACGTCTGCAGCTGCTCCTGCAGCAGTGGCGGAGGGGAGGATCAAGGGTAACCGGCGCACTTACGTCGATATCCGCGCAGCAACAGAATCAGCGCGCGCGGACGCGGCGGCAACATGGGGGGACTTGCGGCGGATGCTCAAGGCGGGCGGGGACCATGCGTGCTCCGCGCACGCAGAAGCGGAGTCCGCGCGGCGACACCACTTGCTGCGCGGAGTCAAACCCGCGATTCAAATGGTCATGAGCGCGCTCTCTGCCTGCCAGGCCGGGTCCACGGCCGCGTGGGACGCGGATGTCGCGAGGGAGAGGGCACGCGCTGTGAAACGCGTCTCTGCCGCTGCCGCTGCTGCCGGCGCGACAGGAGCTTTCTCGGCGGAGATTCATGGAGAGGAGGAGGAAGAGGGAGAGGGAGAGGGAGAGGGAGACGCGGGGTTGGGAGGAGGAGACGTGGTCACGTTTAACGACGAGGAGTATCGCGTGGGGGCAAACCCTGATGCGATTCACAGCTTCATGTGGGAGAGGGATCCCAGTGACGGCATGCCCGAGGCCTCGCGTGAAGAGCTGTTGGCGACGCTGAATGCTCTGTCGCAGCAGCTGTACCCGCGTCTCTCGGCCATGCATGAGAACGTGGAGTTGGTGCTTTCGGGGGAGAATTTTGAGCGCGGGGCAGCTGGGGCGCGAGCAGCAGCGGCTGGCGGAGCAGCAGCAGTGGGTGGGGCAGCAGCAGCCGGTGGGGCGGCGGCAGGTACCCCAGGAGTGGAGCAACAGGTGGAAGCTGCACAGGGGCAGGGCGTGCAGGAGAGAGTGCAGGTGGAGGGAGTGCAAGAGGAGGGTGGACTTCTGCAGAAATCTCTTGACCAGAGAAATCAAGAAGGTTCAAGCAGCAGCAGACTTGCATCAGCTAAGGCGGATCAAGAACCTGAAAGGGCCACGCCAGTGGATGTGATCCGGCCTGCTTGCCTGGCCTCCCTGGTTCTGAATACCATCCAGTTTACCCCTCTACCCGAGCCTGCTTCTGGAGATATCGCCTCTACATCTCCTGCCTTGGTTCCCGTTTCCTGCACCCCTCCTTTCTCCACATCTCCTCCCTCAAATTTCTTCTCTCCTGGTTCCACCCCAAGTGCTTCTCCCAGTCAGCAGCGGTGGTCGTTTGAGAGCATTGCGCTGGCGGCTGTGTTTGGTGGGCTGAGGCGGTTGGCAGTGGTGCAGTGCGGTGGGGTGGGGGAGGAGCAGCTGAGGGCAGTGCTGCGTGCATGCCGGGTGTTGGTGGAGCTGAGAGTAGAGCACAGCGATGCCATGTCCGATAAAGTGCTGCTCTCATGTCCTCTCCACTCACTCACCCATGCCACTCTCATTGCTTGCAACGGCATCACTGCTGCTGGGGTGATCGGGTTGCTTGCAAGCTTCCCAAGGCTGATGCAGTTGAAGGTGGAAGCGGTTAAGGTTCCTGAACGGGCTCGACGGAAATTGCTGCGTGCTGGTGTGGTCGTCAGGGGGGTGTGAGAGTGAGTGTGAAGCTCATGACACCAGGTTTGGGTTTTTATGTGAAGGTGTACAGAAAGGTAAGAAGATGAGACATTTTCATTGCGTGTCTCTCTCTTTTCTATTCTTTCTTTTATTCTCAGCAGAGCCTAGGTCCTCCAAGAGGTCTCAACCTTGAGCGCTTACTCTCGGTGCAACACCTTCAGAAATGAGTTTGCTTCTTGTACTAGGTAGTTGTTGCCTACAGGGGCTGTAGAATCGGAATGGCTGAGCCCAATAGACAACCCAACAGCCAAACACCAGCAGCAGGCAATCTGGTCGACCAGAGACCACATACGGTATTACGCGCTGCGTAGGAAGGTTCGGTAAGTGAGGTGAGGAGAGGATGTGTCAACGAATCAGCAGGTGCTTTGAATTGGCCGGCACATGACATGAGTCTTGAGTTTGTATTTTGGCAGCCATACAATACAGTGTTGATCATGCCCAAGGATTCAAAAAGGCAGGTGATGTTGAAGTGGCAAATATGATGGGGACTATCTACGAGCATGTATGGTTCCATAGCATGTTTATGCGTTCTGTAACAATGTTAGTTTGCCATGAACAAATGCCCCAATGAAATAACCGTCGTTGCATTCGGGTTCGGGTCCCCTTTTTTATATACCACACAAGGGAATGCACAAAAAATACACTACAGTCGTAACTGTCAGGTCCCCAATTTGTATATAAACGGAACATGCTAATACCACTGACTAAGAACCTTGTACAGTGTCAAGATTTTGAATTCCGAATTTGCTTGCACATCAATCCCCCACGTAACACGTGTATGCGGCGCGAATGGGCGGGGTACCCAGGGACCGAGTGACAGGGTTGGCGGAGACAACGGCGGGGAAGAATGCCAATCCGCGAAGGATGGAAAGCTGAGCTCTCCGCCTCCCTGCTTCCTCACACCTGTGGTTGCAGGACACCTGTTCTCCCCAACTCCAAGCCACTGCTCCAGGATTCCTGGACTCTCGTTTCTCCTTCTTGGCTGGTTATTGGTAGGTGTTTTTTCGCTCCTTGCAAACCCACACACGTGTGCGTTTCGCAGGTCACTTTCGAGGCTTCGTTTTCAAGGTGTTGGTTTATCTTTACTCACATCCCTCGGCTTCCGCCTCCTCTTGAGAACAAGTTCATCCCGTCATGTAAGCGTTTGCACCATGGCAATCTCATCCGTTTCTGTTTGTTACGTGGCAGCGAGGAGGGAGCCCATTCTCTCTCCCAGGTTTCGGCGCCGATCCTGCGCCATTCAGCTATCCGTGCAGTGTTTCGGCTCCCCTGGGCCACCTCTGCATCTTCCGTGCACACCTTATCCGTCCGTGTGCGTGGCTCCCCCAGTCGTGTCTCCTCCGTCTGACGCGTGTTGGCTGCTGGTAACATGCAGCCCTAACAACCAAGTCAACCACCTCAATTCCTGTTCAACGTTCGTGTCTGAATCAAGCTGTGGGTCATCTCCTCGCTTCTTCAGACTTGCATGGCTTGTTTGCTCGCCAGACTGGCACATTCCTACGCCAGCTGACTCCTTGTGTGCTCTCACACTCGATGTCGCTCACACTTTCCTACGTGAGCTGGTCAATTCCGGTGCGCCATGGCGTAAGCCTCAGCCACCTCGCGCCTCGTGCTTTCCGGTCTCAACAGCTTCTCATCGTCTCTCTTACACGCGCGCCTCGTCCTTCGCTCGGAGGAAAGGTCGGATATTTAGTTCCTCACCACCATGGGCCTCCTCGCACCTCCCTCTCGATCTGCCTTTTTTCCCAGCAGATCATGGAGCACTCCTCTGCCTTCGACGCGGTGATGGCAGATAACGCTGGGATCACCCCTTCGTTCAGTGACCTCCTTGGCGACGGGTCTCCCGTGGCCAAGAAGGTGTGCAAAGCCGCATCCTCGTCTTCCTCTAAACTCCCGGGTGCTGCTCCCGCTCCGGCGCCTGCTGTGAATGTGGAAGTTTCATCCGCCCCTTCCTCGGGAATGCCTGGCAAGCGTTTCCGCCGCCTCTGTGCCCTGCGAGACACTGTCGGTGAGACCGCGACCGATGTGACCCGTGATCTGGACACTCTTGCCGCTGTGATTTTCCCTGAGAACCTCGCTGACCATCGCAAGGACATCATCGCTTTTATCAAAAAGAGTCTTCGTCGTGCTGATTTCAAGAATTGGCAGATCCCCACCTTCAAGTCGATGGCGGGTGAGAACCTGAAATTCGGCAAAAAGATCTACGCCCGGCAGATCCTGCAGTTTCCGAACAAGGAAGCGGCCGAGGACTTTGCTGCCCGCCCCTCGATCTTCTTCTCCGCGGCCCACGGTCCTGACGTCGAACTTAAGGTCTATGTCGACCCCGCGCCGGACTTCACGGCGGCGAAAGCGCGCGGTGAAACCAGCATCGTTCTCCGAACATCCCGCTGGGGCTCACTGAGGAGAAGCTCCGTGGTATCCTCCTGAACGGCAAGAATCGGGAAGGGCAGAAGTGGATCTCGGATCTGCTGTTCTTCCACACAGCCTCCGACCCCTACGAGGAAACGTTTCAGCTCCAGATGCATGGTATCGTCAAGCCCATGCTTGGAGACGCAGCTTTCAGCGTTACCCCGCCTGTCATCTGGATCCCTGACGTGCGCGAACCGGTCCTGGTGAACCTCTCTTGCCACTCCTGTGGCATATGCTCGAGCAACCACCGAACCGGGGACCACCATGTGTTCCCCACGACGCGACGCAACAAGATCAACAACCCGTACTCAATTTCGGTGGCTCAGCTTCAAAACGTTAATGGTGCGGTTTCCCCCCCCCCTGTGTGATATGATACCTCTCACATTTATTCTCTATCTTTGCGGTTCTTATGCTTCTGCTGTCTCAGCGTGAGGCCTGTCTTTCTGTCAATTCTGTTTCCCACAACGCTCACATGGTCGACGGTCTCTTTATTCAGGCGTGCCTTCCTTCTCATGTCCGATGCAATTTTTCCTTTCAGCAACGCTCTTGGCCTGAAAACCGAGGGCGGTTCACTCTCACCTGGTACGGTCTCTTCCCCCTGGTCCCCCTGCTTTCCTGACAGCCAAAGCTCTGGGACACTCGCCTGCCGCCAACCAAGTCAAGCAGGACCCCGCGCTTCTCTTCATTGGCCTCGACAGCGATGTCGAGGTCTGGACTTGCTGCGCCTGCGACTTCGTCTGTGGTTGGACCATAGACACGGCTATTGCTCACGGCAATTCTTCTCAGCATCTCCACCGCCTGCGGACGGCCAGCCCCCTCCTGAAGGACGAATTCGGGGATATGAAGGTTCAGCAGTTTCTGAAGAACGACAAGCTGGTTCAGTTTTTCGCCGAGGAATAGCAGTCACATGGTTGCTGTCAAAATGAAGAATGGATGATGCATTGATGTTGGTTGGGGTACATATAGCTAACCCTAAGTTTTGTACCCCCTAAGACAAACCTCACTATAGGCTACAACATTTGACACACCCCCATAGCCTAAGTGAGGGGTGTCTAGCAGAACCAAACGAGTACGGTCACAAGACCAGTCCAAGAAACGAAGCTCAGGGTGGATCACAACGTCACCACACAGTCTGAGCACAAACAACAGTGGCCACAAGGCCAGTCCAAGAAGTAACAGAGGTATATAGAAAGCAAAGTAAACAGTACACTCAAGTCTAAGCAACACGAGAACCAGTGTCAACAAGGCCTAACTGCACACAGCACCTCTGGTGGTCACAAGGCGGAAGCGCCTTGGTGAAGATGTCTGCAGTGTTGGCCTCGGACTCCACAAACTCAAAGCGAGCCTGTCCACGCCTCTGCAACTCTCGCAGAAGAAAGTACCTGACGTGAATGTGCTTCACTCTGCTCTCCAGTCGTGGCTCTCGACAAAGGAGAATAGACGCCTTGTTGTCAGTGAACAAGGTCGGTGCAGAGCTCGGCCGCTCACCAAGGTCGGTGAGCAAGAAGGTCAACCAACGCAGCTCCTGTGCCGCCATGGCACCAGCGTAGATCTCAGCCTCAGCTGTAGAGGTCGAGACCGAAGAGGAGCGCGTGGACCGCCAGGAAACAGCTCCAGAACCCAGGCTGAAACAGTACCCCTGAGTAGACCTGTGAGTCTCAGCGTCGTCAGCGTAAGAGGAGTCACAGTGACCAGTAAGTACGACAGACTGCTGCCCTCCAAGAACTAGCCCCACGCCTGACGTCGACGCTAGGTACTTCGCCACCCTCACAGCTGCTGTCCAGTGAACAGGACGGTGTCTCCCTGGCGCAACAAAGCGCGCAAGAACGCTGAGAGGGAAGGCGAGGTCCGGGCGAGTACAAGTCATCAGGTACATGAGGCAACCCACAAGCTCTGCGTAGGGACCACTAGGCTCGAACGGCTCGTCAGGAAAGGGTCCAGTGAGTCTGTGGTCAACAGCAAGAGGTGTGCGCTATACTGTGGAGTGCTGAAGCCCGAACCGCTGAAGGACCTGCTGCACCATGTGCGACTGTGAAAGTGTAATGGTGCGAGCAGCTCTGTCCCTGGTGATCTGCAGGCCAAGGTAGTGGCGCAGCTCACCAAGATCAGTGCAGGTGTGTCTCTTCTGCAGTTCGGACTTCACGTGTGCCAAAGCAACCCTGTCAGGGGTGGCGAAAACAAGGTCGTCAACGTAGACCAGAACAAAGAAAGGTGTGGGGCCACGACGAACGAACAGCGACGGGTCAGCAGAAGACGGCTGGAACCCAAGGTCAGACAGGGTAGAACGCAGGGTGTCGTGCCACTCACGAGGAGCCTGACGAAGACCGTAAACCGGTCGCCTCAGCCTCCACTGGGTCCCAGGAGGGAAAGAGCCAGTGAAGGCAGAGGGACGACGCAACCAGACCTCCTCGTGAAGACTGCCCTGAAGGAAAGCAGTAGAGAAGTCGAGAGAGTGTAACTCGTAGTCTCTCTGTGCTGCTACGTGTAGTAACACCCGAAGAGTGGTCATCTTCGGGGTGGGCGCGAAGGTCTGAAAGAAGTCAACTCCCTCGCGCTGACTGAAACCTCTAGCCACGTAGCGCGCCTTGAAGACCGGAGGAGATCCCGGTGGCCGCTTCACCCTGTAGATCCACATGCCGTCAACTACGTTCGCCCCCGGAGGGGGAACCTCATCGACGTAGGTGCCTGTGGATCTGTAGGAGGCCATCTCTGCGTCCATGGCATCCCTCCACTGAGAGGCCCAAGGCCCTGACACTGCCTCAGCGTAAGTGCGAGGAGTCGGAATGTCAAGGGCGTCGGGGTCACCCTCAGGGGCGAGGAGCATGGCACAGAGATGAGGGGAAGCGGCGGCCAGGAACTCTAGCTCAAACTGCCTGTCCTCTAGGGCGTCACTGCCAAGGGCAGACACACCCCCGACGGCCAGAGGACTGGAAGGAGGAGCAGCCACAAGAGCGGTGGCGAAGTCAAGGCGGCGGGTAGAGGCAAACTCAGTGACTGCGGCAGTAAGAGCGGACACAGAGGACACAGAGGCACGAGGGTGGGTAACAAGAGAGGCGAGAACACGAGAGAGAACAGGACGGTACGTGCGGTAGTAGTCAGTGACAGGAGAAGGAAGCGACACAGTGAGGGCCGACTCAGGAGGAGACGGAAGCACAGACGGAGACGGACGAGGTGGACGAGAACAAAGGAAGGCTGTACGAAGGTCAGTGAAGGGAACAGGAGACGAGGGACGAGCACGAGGGGAGCGACGAGAGGCCCAAGTCTGAGAAGGAGGAGGAGACAACGAAGACTGAGAACGAGGGAAAACAGCGGGAGAGGGGTCAGGAGGAGGAAGCGGAGGACCAGAGACGGGAGGAGAGGGGGAGGAGGAAGGAGAGGGAGACGGGAGACCAAGGGTCCGAAGACCCGAGACGGCTGATGCGGCTGCTGCTGCTCCAGCGGCTGCTGCCTCTGCTGCTGCTCCTGCTGCTGCTCCTGCTGCTGTCGCTCCTGCTCCTCGAGCCGCTGCAACTCTCTCTCCTCTCTCTCCAACTCCAACTGCTCCTCACGAGCACGGCGAACACGAGCCTGGAACCTGGTCGGGTAGGGGTGGGGGGAAGGAGTAGTGTCCGGGGCAGCGGCAGCCCCAGAGTCGACCTCCGAAGCACCAAGCACACCACCCCCAGAGGCAGCACCAACACCAGCTCCAGACCCAGGCTCTCCAGAAACCGAAGGGACACCCTCACCCCCAGACGCAGCACCCCCAGACTCCGCACCAGCACCCCCAGACTCCGCACGACCAGTACCAGCCCCCGGAAGACAAGAGTCCTCTGCAACCCGCGGCTCAGCTCCAACTCCAGCACCCCCAGAACCAGAGACCTGTACAGGGACAGTCGCAGGACCAACCTCTCGAGAGGGAGCACCTGCAGGAGGCGGCGAGGAAGACTGTGGGGAGGGAGGCTGTACAGGGGGGGCTACCGAAGGGGGAGGGCTAGCCTGAGACACACCAGACGGGGCTGGACCAGGGGGGGGAGGCTGTACCGGGGGAGCAGGCGGGGGAGCGGCTGTCAGGAAGAGAGGGGGGGGAGGGACCGGGAGACCTCGACTGGGGTACCTGACGTAGTAGGGGGTGGACTCCTCGAAACGGACGTCACGGGAGTCAAAGAACCGGTGAGAGGGTGGGTGGTAAAAGGTGAAGAATGTCAAAATGAAGAATGGATGATGCATTGATGTTGGTTGGGGTACATATAGCTAACCCTAAGTTTTGTACCCCCTAAGACAAACCTCACTATAGGCTACAACATTTGACAGTTGCGTACCTCCTCGTGTCTTGCTGTTTTCTCCTTCACGTTGGCGGCTCTGTATCACCTTGGGCGCCATCTCCTGTTTCTCAGGCCGTCTGGCTCTAGTACATACGTCACGAGTTTTCCCTTAGTACTAGGCTGGTCTGTTCATGCCTGTAAGCGCGTGAGAGCAAGAATATGCTTTCCTGACAATTTCATTCCCGTCGCACTCCCCGTGGATCTGTGTGTCTCGGCACACAGGGGGACCAAATGGGTTCCAAAATGAATACACAAATCTCAATACAATGCCTTAACATCAATGGTTTAAACTCAATCGCCAAAATGGATGAACTCAAAGCTTGGCTGCACAAAATCCCCGATATCCTCGTCTTAATAGACACTCGTTTATCAACCAACTTCACTAAGCTTCGTTATAAGCTTAAGCCGACGGCCTATTCTCAGGTGCCTCCAGTAGTCACTCCCACACAAACCTTCCCCAGCGGAATAGCTATACTAGTGTTCAATCGGAAAATTAAACTCTCTGACAAAGTTGCTTCGGTGGATGGACGTATTCTCAGCATACACTGTAATTACTTGAATGAGCAATTCAGACTCATCGCCATATACGCCCCCTCATACTATTTGGAACGGAAAATCTGGTGGACTGAGTCTGTTGAGCCGGTCTTGCAGTCACCAACTTCGAGTCATTGGACGCAGCTCACCGGTGACTTTAATAATGTCCTTGATGACCTCGATAGGAATCGGCCTCTGCGAGCATATGAAAAAACAGAGGCAACGCTTGTTAGCAATATGTTGGAAGCTGCGGATCGTGCAGACACTTTTCGTATCCTCCATCCTGACGCACAAGCTTTTTCCTTTATTGGCCCGACAAGGAACGCTACCCTACGGAACCGTCCTCCGATCTTCACTACCCATACACAAACACCTTCCCCAACGCTTCCCCAACTCATTCATAAACCACATGTACAGGGCCTGGTCAAAGAATTCGTATCATCCCTTCCCACTCCCCTATCCCCGGCCCAACGGGATAAGTGCAAACAAACGCTGAGTCAAAAACTCAAACACTATACACGGGAAGAACGTATACGAGTTCAAAAAACGGTTACCCACATGCAAGATGAGATCTGCCAAATCCAACTCCACCTGTTGAAATACCCAGGGGATGACGGTGCCTCATCCAAACTAACTCGGCAATTACAACACTTACAGGCTTACACCAGCTCGCGCGCCGCTGAAATCGCCCTCAAAGCCAAACTAAAAGTCGAAGGACCGCGGGAAATGGGGGTGGCGTCTCTTATGGCCAGCCTCAATAGGAGAATCAAAGACTCTCAGATACCATTCCTCCAAACCCCGTCAGGAGAGAAAGTCGAGCAGCTAACCCCTATGACCCAACTCTGTACCACCTTCTTCAGTAACCTCTACAGCGGCAGCACGCCCATCACCCCCTCACAGGACTTCTGGCATCATATTTACCCCTCCTCGCTAGCCCTCACCACTTGTGATGACCTAGCGGCGCCCATCGGATTACCAGAAATCAAGCGCGCAGTTAGTGCCTTGGCTAAAGGGAAAACCCCAGGCACTGATGGTCTTTCTGCCGACCTCTTCCGAGCTTACAAG